CTAATGTAACACTTAACAATGACAGTCAGCGATATGACAGTATGACATATGAAAATTACATTTAATAATTGACAAAATATAAGATAATAAAGCCAAGCACACATTAAGTACTTAGCAGATAAATGCTTAACGTAATATAGACGATAATTATTAAAGGTATGATAGCAAAAACATTAGACTACTCACCGTGCTCTCTCGTTGTCAATAACTCCGCCCCTCACTTCCGGTTCTGTGGCTGCGGTTCTATGGCTGCGGTTCTGAAACTGCTGGTGCTGCGGGTCTGCAGCTGGATACTATTGGGATAAATTGTGCCTGCCCCCTCACTTTGTGCGCTCTGGCGCGGACCCTGCGTACTTTTATTATGAAAAGTAAACCGGAAATTACCTATGTTGTCATACGTCGAGAGGCTGGAATCAGGAAGTGGAGTTGTAATGTACTATTTTGATTGAGCTCGTCGCTGTTCAACTGTCTAATTTACAAGTTCAAAATGGGGCTGTTTGGAAAAGCACAAGAGAAACCACCGAAGGACCTTGTAAGTGAAACGGGAGTTAACGGTTTATATTAAATGTTCCATTGTAAATAATAGCAGGCCTATGAATATCTCGTGTGTCATGCTTGTTGGTAACATGCTCTATTACATGTCATTTTAAACGAAGCACTTTAAAAAGTTTGATTTAATTCTGTGGTCTGTACGTGGGTTGTTTTGGAGAACCAAAATGATCAAATCGCCTTTACACGCCTGTTGGTAAAATCCAGTCACAACAGGTAGCTGATCTCAAACTGTCTTCATCTCTTTTCCGTAGATCAACGAATGGTCTCTCAAAATCAGGAGAGAAATGAGGGTTATTGACAGACAGATTCGAGGTGAGGTCCTAATACACCAGTTTGACAAATGCAGTCTACTGTAATTAAATTGTGTTCAGTTCGGTAACTGTATTTAACAGAAGTTGTAATTGTGTATATTGTATATTTTTCCAAAGATATTCAAAGAGAGGAGGAGAAGGTGAAGAGATCGATCAAAGATGCTGCAAAGAAGGGACAGAAAGATGTCTGCATCATCCTCGCCAAAGAGATGATTCACTCAAAGAAAGCGATCAACAAGCTGTACGCCTCTAAAGCTCAGATGAACTCCGTGCTGCTCAGTATGAAGAATCAGTTGTGTGAGTATAGTTTATTTGGAGACCCAACAGTGTGCTCTGTAAATTCACAGATGACATGGATTCATTAAATGGACTAAAAAATGTGGCACGTGAAGTTTGAACACTCTTCACTACCCCAGAACCTTTTTGATTCTTGAATTTATTTGGCTACAATCAAAAGTACGTTAAAGGAAAAAAGGGAATCAATGTGATGAAAAGAACAACATTTTAAGCCTCTTGGTGGATGTGTTATGCTTTGGGTATGTGTAGCTGCCATGCTGTATGTTACTCATACATTTGTTCATTGGTTTTCCATTACAGCTGTATTAAGAGTGGCCGGTGCCATACAGAAGAGCACAGAGGTCATGAAGGCCATGCACAGCCTGGTTAAAATCCCAGAGATTCAAGCCACCATGAGAGAACTCTCAAAAGAGATGATGAAGGTACGTACATGAACACTTCTTCTAATATTCTGCACAGAAATGTCTCGATGAGCACATCTCTAACGTGGCGCACTCACACTACACAGGCTGGAATCATAGAGGAGATGCTGGAGGATACACTGGAAGGGATGGATGATGAGGAGGAAATGGAGGAAGCAGCGGAGGCTGAGGTTGACAAGATCCTCTTTGAGATTACAGCTGGTAAGAGACCAAATAACAATCACCCACACTATCAAAAAGTGATTTAAAAATGTGGTAAAAACAGTTGGATAACAGGAAGTTGCCTCATTACATAAAGTGATAATCTAATAAATCTAATGGAACATTTCATGGCATTTTACAGTAAAATACTGTTACATTTACACTTTTGGAAGTGTAAAAGAATTTGAAATTCCCAGAATTCACTGTGTGACCGTTCATATTTGATGGTTTTTCACTGAAATAACGTTTTTTCTTAGTAGTTATGTACATTCGGGTTTTATGTTACATTTTGTATAGTTAAATATTTAATGAGTTATTTTAGTGTCAGTGTTATGTATTTACCTCAGCTTCTGGAAAAGGTACTTGTTTTGATTCTTCTACTACTACTACTACTACTACTACTACTAATAAAAAAAACTAGCCTATTTTCACCCAGAAATTGCTAGTAAATTTCACAAGTTATTACAAAGAAACGGCAGGTAGCACATTTATTAGACATGAAATTTTGAAGTAAAAAGACTGAATAGTATTTTCTTATAAAACATACTCTAATAATCATTTTATTTACTTTTAGTACTTCAGTAAGTTGGTATATTAATATTATCTCAGTTAATTAAATATACGTTTTTGTGTTGTTGTTGTTGTTTTTGGACTGTATATTAAGTTCAGTTCATAAAACCTAAAATGTTTTTAACCACATCTGCCATTTTTTGTTGTTTTGTTTTTTTTAACAAAGGCTATTTCATCTCACTTCCTACCGCACAAAGCATTTCATCATTATGCACTAATGACGTGAACCAAAGTTAAAACTATTGCTTTTTTTAATAACAGGTGCACTTGGAAAAGCTCCCAGCAAAGTCACAGATGCCCTGCCTGATCCAGTGCCGATTGGAGCCACGGCCGCCTCAGAAGGGGAAGAAGAAGAAGAAGAAGAAGATATCGAGGAGATGCAGTCCAGGCTAGCAGCGCTGAGGAGCTAAAAGACCTGTGTTTTTTACCCTTCAGCTCTATAGGCATAGACAACATATCTTACTTCCCCTGTAGCTTTTCTTACACTTTGGCACATTAAATTTAGCACTAAATTCGGACTTCACATAAAATGAACAAAACTATATGGATAGTGGATATTAAAAATAAAATTAGCTCTATATGACATACAATAAAGAACAGTGAAGTCAGATATTTAGTTGTTGTATGGTAGCAGGTGGATGACTTTTTTTTCCAAATCATTCACTTTTTACTTAAGCCCATTTTATTTCTAGATATTCTGACTCCACTCATTTGAATCTATGCCTATAGTTAAGCAGCTTGTCCAAGAATCTATTGTGCAGTGGTGTCACTGTGGTGTTGGTCGTAATCGTTTTGTCTCTGTTGTCGAATTTGCAGTTTTATCTCAAGCCTTATTTAGGCTACGTGAATAGTTCTTTCGTATATCTGGTAAATTGGTTTTTACTGAGTAGGACAAATTCATGGAAGCCATTACTTGTAAATCTTGTACAAATACTGAACATAAAAATATATCTGTTTGCATTGTTATTTTGTTAGTAAAGTTGTCGGCAAGTTATAAAACGGGCTTTCGGAATAAAGGAATGGTTGTGCTCGATAACTGACAGAATTTTACACAGCAGGTGTTTCAGACTTCAACGAGCTGATCGCATTTCTGTCTTTGTTTCTGCTACTTTTGGCCTTTTGTTATGGTTTAAATGCACATATATCTTTGTATGTTATTAATTATGAGTATTTTTTTATTAAGCCTTTGCTTTTAGATGACTGAAATGCTTACATAACAGATGTTCCCCTGATGATGGAAATGGCTGACAATTTATGTTACAGTTTCTTCTATGTTATATTTTAAGTTGAATGTCAGCTGAATAGTCCGTTTGCTATAATTCTATTATGTCTACATATGAAACAACTACACTTTGTGCATTCTGACTTTATAGTTCGTTTTGGCATGACCAATTTAGTATGGCATGACCAATTAATATCTGCTTATTTGGCATAAATTGTGCACTCTGGAGTGACAAAGTACATAGATTTTGTACAGATCCAGGCTCAGTATGTTGACTCAATTATAATCTCCTGAATGAACCAAATTGATTATTCTGCTTCGTTTCAGATCTTTGCTGTTGTAGAAAAACATTCACATCTGCACAAAACTGTTTTGTATAGTGGAAAAATATGTTGATAACAATAATAAAATTTTACAGGCAAAAGGAGTACATTTCACAACACTGATTAAACCAATGTTGTAAACTGTTAGGATCTCATACAAGTCATAATTTAGCATAGCATTAGGGTTTTTACAGTAACAGTAATATACCTCGATGTTATTAACTGTGTTATGATCTGCTGCTTTAGCAGGGTCTTTTGGGATTCTCAGAGGGTTATTTTACTTACCTCAGTCTCTCCTTTTGACTCCCTCTCTGTCCACTCATCCACAGCTTTGTGAAGGAAACCTGATCTTTTGAGTGTCTTTTGACTGAATCTAGGTTACTTCTCTAGAAGCTCTGTGTATTTCACAAAGACAGGCGTCTGAGCTTAAATAAGCGAGTTTAGAGTATTCTAACCATATGAGTATGATTCTGCAGCTTGTTGTCAGAAGATTATTTAAAAGAGTTCATTTGTTCTGTACAGTTTTGTTACCAGAAACCTTATGAGCTACCCAGGCAGCATTTTTAGGCATCATGTGACATTAGCTGTCTACCTTAACCGCGTTTGAGGCACATGAAAATGCTGTCTGGTTAGGCAGCTCGCTAGGTTTTTAAACCATTCCAATTACTTATGGCTCGTATGTTATTTTTGTCCTTTGTGTTTATTATTTTTGTCCATTATCTATAACCCACATGTTCAGAGCAGAGCGCCTGCGCGGACGCGTCTGTCAAACGTAGAAAAACATTCACATCTGCACAAAACTGTTTTGTATAGTGGAAAAATATGTTGATAACACTAATAAAATTTTACAGGCAAAAGGAGTACATTTCACAACACTGATTAAACCAATGTTGTAAACTGTTAGGATCTCATACAAGTCATAATTTAGCATAGCATTAGGGTTTTTACAGTAACAGTAATATACCTCGATGTTATTAACTGTGTTATGATCTGCTGCTTTAACAGGGTCTTTTGGGATTCTCAGAGGGTTATTTTACTTACCTCAGTCTCTCTCCTTTTGACTCCCTCTCTGTCCACTCATCCACAGCTTTGTGAAGGAAACCTGATCTTTTGAGTGTCTTTTGACTGAATCTAGGTTACTTCTCTAGAAGCTCTGTGTATTTCACAAAGACAGGCGTCTGAGCTTAAATAAGCGAGTTTAGAGTATTCTAACCATATGAGTATGATTCTGCAGCTTGTTGTCGGACGATTATTTAAAAGAGTTAATTTGTTCTGTACAGTTTTGTTACCAGAAACCTTATGAGCTACCCAGGCAGCATTTTTAGGCATCATGTGACATTAGCTGTCTACCTTAACCGCGTTTGAGGCACATGAAAATGCTGTCTGGTTAGGCAGCTCGCTAGGTTTTTAAACCATTCCAATTACTTATGGCTCGTATGTTATTTTTGTCCTTTGTGTTTATTATTTTTGTCCATTATCTATAACCCACATGTTCAGAGCAGAGCGCCTGCGCGGACGCGTCTGTCAAACGATAAATGCCGACACCAGTCTCGAGGAAAACTCCTCCCTGTCGACAACACGCCGCTCTCATAGCGCAATGGTCTCCTGGATTATTTCTAGGCTTGTGGTGTAAGTCTTTATTCTGCTCTTGTAAAGCATTTTCATTGGGTTGCATGAAAATTCAGCGCGTAATCTTTATATGTATATGTTGTTTTTCAGCTTTTTTTAATGCGAAAACGCAAGGGTTTCTAGGGCACCTCTTAATTCTAGGCAGAATGAAATCACATATGGTTATGTATCAGGCCTGATTTGTCCTGGTTAGTCTTTTGATTATTATGTTGAAAGGCTATTACAAAGGTTACTGTACACTTGCAAGCTAATGGATATTGATGGTTCTCCAAAATAAGAATCATGTAGGATATAGCTTAGCTTTTGAAGCAATTAATTTTATGTAACACTTTTAATTGCAGAATTTTGAATTTAGTGGACATGCACAATGTAGGGTGTTAATATTGAGTCATTTTTGGAGTCGTACATACAGTAGAGCAGGTCTTTGATGTGTCATAAAGACAATGGGATGGTCAACCAGCCTGATGGTCACTAATGTGTTTTCCAGTATTTGCTTTATTTTTCATTGTCGCTATTTTATTTAATTGACGAGCGCATTTGAATGTATTCCATGTAAATTTATTTTAAAAAAATTTAACGCTTCAGTCAATCTGGTTGTGGGTGCAAAATCTCTAAATAGCCGTTCAATTCATTTTAGATCACAATATCCGATGACATTGCACATTTGCCAACACTTGTGCTGTAAACTAGCTGTGTAAAGAGTCTAAAATTAGACAACAAACCGGTGTTTTGGCGTGCCCTAGATAGTGTGCAGTGGGCTCTATTTAGTCGGAAATGTTTTGTTTTGTTTTGTGGGACCCTGACGGTGTCGTGGTGGCTCTGGATTGGGTTTGTGGGTCGGTCATTTGATCGGGTCAGAGGCGCAGCTGTTGCTGGGCTGGAAGAAAGAGGGGACACTGGAATAGTGCTAAACTGAAATACTTAAACACAGGTGCAGGGCACTTCTTTTTGGTTATCTAGCACTTTCCAATCACCCATTTAACCCACAGCCTTGCAAACGGTATTCGTTCCGTCCCATTTGCTCTGATCTTTTCTTTGCGCCCTTGACCAGCGTTCACTTGTCAGGTCTATTTTTATCAAGCATGCAGAATGTAAACCTGGAACATAAACGGGGTTGTGCAGATATGTCGCCTGTTTACGTGCGACACTGGCGTTACAATAGGCAAGAACTGGAAAAAATAATATTCTGGGCTGAGTAAATCAGACTCCAGGCCTACTAAAGGGCCGTTATCTCAAATATCAATAATGGAAAGGGAGTGGAGCGGTTTCCTTTCAGGGAAGTGGTGGGCCTTGATGGGAATTATTAGTGGCCATTGTTATGTCATTTTGTAATACTGAAATCATATAATACTTGTACGTAATTTCTGTGACAAATAAACCCTAACCTTAACTGTTTTCTGAAGAGATTTGAGTTTATGCAAAGATGGGGTAATAAAAAGCATTTGCTGTATTTTGTGGTGGTGAGACTGGGTTACTTTTTATTCCAGTGAATGGTTTCTCAAAATAAATGTATTATTGAATGTCAGTAACCCACTGGTATTATTGGCCAGGAAAAAAATCAAATCAGTGAAATGGCAAAAATGTAATTAAATAAATTCTATAGCAGGGCATGTGGGGTATACACTATTTGGGGTAAGTTGTCACAGATGGAACTTGCTGTTTATTTACACTCATCTGTGAACAAAACACATTTGATATTTCAAATTACAATAAAATATTAAGTAATCAATAAATGAAATGTGACAAAACTACTTAAATGTATTATAAGCTAGTTTTACAGTACTTCTACTTTATTGACTATTCTATTTATTGTTAAATAACTGTGTAATGTAATAATTCATTAAACAACAAATAGGCAACATACTGTTATTTGGCCAACAGAAATTATAATGAATGAAATAAAATTATATATTTTAAAATACAACATAAAACTTAAAAAATACCCTTGACCTATTTCAATTGTTTTCTGCTTATTTATCTTAAGCATGATTGTTGCATTTCTTACAGGCTTATATTTGGTACCCTTTACCCAGCGTACTCCTCATATAAAGCTGTTAAATCAAAAGATGTGAGAGAATATGTAAGTACAGCTCTGATATATTTCCATCAGTTGAACTCATTAACCTTATTGCTTATTTGCCTGCTGATTGTGTAAACTGTTTCAAACAGGTGAAATGGATGATGTACTGGATAATATTTGCACTTTTTACTACAGTTGAAGTGATTACTGATATCTTTTTGTGCTGGTGAGTACAATGTGCCATTGCTTTCATCATATCCTTTTGTTTGGAATTACTCATATTTTTATTTCTTCTGATGCATGTGGGCGGTAACCAGCATGACATATGAGTGTATGATTGTCTTTTATTGCTTTTGAAGGCTCCCATTCTACTATGAACTCAAAATCGCCTTTGTGGTGTGGTTACTTTCCCCATACACAAAGGGATCCAGTGTACTGTATAGAAAATTTGTCCACCCTACACTGTCCTCTAAGGAGAAGGTACGGTATTTGATGTGATTTTTCCTTTTGATGTGATGATCTATTTATTTTTATCCTGTCTAGGCTGAAAAAATATTCAAAGAAGCTATAGAGCTTTCACTAATGCATAGCCTAATACATATTCTAATATTTTAAATGTTAAACAAACTAGCAAATATCATCCTTAACAGCTGTGAATAATTCTCAGCTTACCAGTGTTTTATAATGCTAAGAAACTGAATTGTTGGAGTTGAGGAGAAAGAACTTTTGACTCCTTTTCCTGTAACCTTTTTGAGTTGATTTTCCTGGTTGACCGAGGATGAGCGGTGTTAAGGAAATGGTACTGTTATTTTCCACAGTCTTTCCTCTGCTTTTTATTCTTAGGGCAGGAAATTCGTTAGGAGTACACACTAAGGGCAAATGGATATGACAAACACAAAACACTGATAACAAAGAGAAAACGAAAACTCATTTACATTTAGTCATTTAGCAGATGCTTTCATCCAAAGCGACTTACAAATGAGGACAATGGAAGCAATCAAAATCAACAAAAGAGCAATGATAAATAAAAAAGTTATTAAAAAAAGTTATTCATAAAAAAAGTTGTTCAAAAATGATGCTGATCTGAAAGTGTACAACAGGATGAAACAGTACCATTCTTCATACAGCTGCTGTGAAATGTTCTTTATAACTCTTTCTTAGGACATCGATGAATACCTTTGCCAAGCAAAAGATAAAAGCTACGACACCCTGATGCATTTTGGAAGGAAAGGTCTGAATGTGGCGGCTACAGCTGCAGTAATGGCTGCCACTAAGGTAGTAATCCAATACTGTTAGAGGAAATGGCACTTTCCACGAAAATGGTACAAAGGCTGTCACTCTGTTACCAAAATTTGTTACCAAAATTACCAGAATCTGTTACCAAAATCTATTACCAAAATACCCGAAATCTTTTACCAAAATTACAGAAATCTGTTACCAAAATTACCAGAATCTGTTACCGAAATCTGTTACCAAAATTACCTAAATATGTTACCAAAATTACCAGAATCTGTTACCAAAATTACCGAAATCTGTTACCAAA